ATTACAATGGAGTCTCCAGTTTGAGGTAGCCATATAGTGGCACCAACTGAGCAAATCATTTTATTTCGCGCATTTTCTGCAACTAAAAGAAAAGTAATCAAATACCAAATTAGAAAGATGTTGATTGAACGATAATGGTTGTTCTTGCTAAGTGTTCAGTGTCTATGTTTTTTACAGATAAGGGGACACATATCTACAGATGAATTGAAATTATTCAAACCAGATATAAACTGGTTCACTCAAATTGTTATTGCATTAATTAATTAATTATGTTATAAAATAAATTGTTAATTTGATTAGCAAAGAATAGTTTGTTGAATCAAAACATTCAGACTCAAGTTTTGCTGGGAAACCAAATGTGTGTGACTTCTGAACATGACAAACATGCAAATATTTTACTACCAACATACAAACTGAAGTTTTCTACCAAGTAAGTTGATTTTACATTACTGGAGTCCAGGTTGAAAGTTTTCAAATTGTTCGTAAAACAAGATATAGAATAAACACCAGTGCACACATCAGTGATAGAGACCAGGAAACTCATCTTAATACTATTCGTTCATTAATTAGAAATAATATATGGTTCCATCAAGTTTCTCTATTTAAATAAGGAATCAGGAATTTATTTCTCATTTTTTTAGTAAACAACTGTAACAAAATTATTTAAATTCACATTTGTAAATATGTACAGAGATCTCTTGAAAAATAAACAAAATTATCACACTTTTAATATATTTGTGAGTTTGGCAAATATTAAACTGAATTCGATACAAAAGATGACAACATATCTTTTGTAATTAAATTAACTCAATTGTAACTCAATATAATCTAGCAGTATTTTTTTAACAATAGAAACATAGCCCTAGAAATACACAGTTGGGCTAATGGAACAGCAACAGTGTATCAATTCAAATGTAATTTAATTTTGCTGCTATGTTACCCTGTAACAAGAATTTATAAGATTAGGGTATAGAGGTGTGGGATATGCAATGAAGAACACGCATGTATTGGAGAAGTCATGTGAAATGCAATATGATCACAAAATTACAGAAGAAATCTACAGTTCTAGAAAACCTAATTAAAATTAAATTTTGTGGAAGAACTGATTAATGTCCATCTCAGACCATTTTAGGTAGTGTTGATGCTTATTCACATAATCTCCTTCTCATTTTAGTTTATGCAATCTAACATTTCCAAGCACCCAATGTTTGTTCTGTGACAACATTCAATCGACGTGCACAGAACAGGAACACCTTCAAATGTTCGCAAATTGTGAGAGTTTGCTTCATGTGGTACCTTCATCGCATATGACCCATACACCGGTTATGAAAGTTACATCCATGCCTGTACAACATTACTGTCAACCATGGTCGAGGTGCCTGGACCTCCATGTACATGTACAATATGGAAGCATACATTGTATCCATAAAATAAGCATTTGCATCCAAACATATTTTTTCATAATGGACACACAACTCAAATACAATATTTGACATTTAATTCGACTTCATCCTTGCATAGCAACAGCAGTGACCTCATTTTGACCCACTTCACTTTCATGGCCCATGACAGGTATTTCTACTAGGTGTGTCTCAACGCCTTCTTCTTGAGCTTCTACTATGTGTTCATGTGGTTGCTCTATCAGTTCAACTTGTCCATCTATGTATTTAACAGCCTGTAATTGGTTGCCATCTTCATCAACTAAATGCACCTGTCAAGAGGAAGATAAAATTAGCAACATCAAATACAGAGGAACATAGCTTGATATTTCACAATTTACGCGTGTCCAGACAATCCGCGATACATGTGGACTAATCTATTCCATTAACACAGCACCACCACTGGCAAGTCAATGTGAGCTACTTACAAGATTGTGCCTGATTGACTACTCAACCCGAACAGAGAGCAGCTTGTTTGATATATTAAATTTTGCCTTGTGTATATGCTAGTCACCTGCCATCATGTAAAATACACAAGCCTGAGCTTACACACTAAATTTGCACCAAATAAATGAATAGGGATGTGTCTAATATACAATTACCTGACTTCCATCTGTAGCATATTCAATGACAACTTCTCTGACTTCTCCATCACCAGCAGAGGTATTCTCTAACTGTGGTATTACTATTACTTGCTCTCCACCACTCACTTCACTTTCACCTACATCCTGCAAAACAATATACATGTATATTGCAATTCATATGTTAACATTGCTATTGGTAAACAAATATTAAATCTTGTTTAGGAAACCTTGTCCCCTCCTTGGGGTTCTGAAGTAGTAGGGATAGTATGATGTTTGACCTAGACATTTTACCATAGACAGTAACAAGTTGAATATAGATTTCACTGACAAAGTGTTTTGAAAGAGAGAGATACAATTAGAAAGACATTGCATAATATCCACTACTGGTATATACAGTGAAATAAAATAATGTTTTGAACATCATCATTGAATGAAGAATTCTACTGGATTTATAACTCTTACTCTCCAATCACCTGAACTGATTAGCTGATTGATCACCTCAATATTCAAATTCACCTGTGGCAAAAACTGATTCAGCGCAATCTTTTGATGCTTGGAAAATGTCAAGTCCCATTTTAGCCGAAAATTAATTCACTTTACCTTTTCATGTTCTGATGTTTCCACTGTATGCGTAATGACCTGATTTTGTAATTCAGCCTGTGCTTGGTAAGCAGCAATAGCATCTGAGATCTGTGACAAGGCATCTTGAGTTTCAGTTGTCTCCACCGAGGCTACATTCTGAAAATCACCAACGTGCACAGTCTGTAGGTTGGAAGCCACTCCTACAGGCATTGGGAACGGAAGGTGTTCTTTACAGTGCACTTTCAGATCTGCTTTGGAGCTAGTTACATACTTGCACTGTGTACATTTGTACACTCTTCCCATCTGATGTGCTTTAATGTGAGTGCGAAGTCGCTGTTTCCAAGACGTTGTGAAATCACAGTAATCGCATTTCATCTTGAGGTCAGAATGTTTGGCCTGGTGAGCCGTGAGATGTTGTTTGTTAGCAGTCGCATAATCACATTTCTCACACTTGTAGGGTTTCACACCAGTATGTTTAGCGATGTGTACATGCATCTGTGTCATGTTGATTGCAGAGTAATCGCAATGCCCACACTTGAAGGGTTTGAGAGGGGAGTGTGTTGCCATATGTCTTTTGAGACTGTTTTTGTATCCAGTAGTGTAGGTACATTGATCGCATGCATACACCTTGTCTGGTGGTGCTCTATTTTCTTCATGGGTCAGCAAGTGTCTGGTCAGACTATGTTTATGTGCTGTGGCATATTCACATAGATCACATTTGAAAGTCTTCTCTTTGGGTGGTTGGTCGTCCCGGTGCTTGGCTTCATGGTTTATAAGCTGCTGTCTATGTGCTGCACTGTAATCACAATGCGAACACTGGTAAGGTTTCACTACAGAATGTCGCAGCTTATGTGACCGTAAATTCTGTTTGGTATTGGTGGCAAAATCACATCCCTCAGCATCACACTGATATGGTCTCAGTCCTTTGTGTTTATCCATGTGTGCTTTCAGGCTTGCTTTATACTGGGTTGCATAATCACACTCTGAACACCTGAATGGCTTCTCACCACTATGAATTGCAAGATGCGTTCTCAAATCTTGCTTCCGAGCAGATGCATAGTTGCAAAAATCGCACCTGTGTGGACGGAGACCTTCATGTTTGCTTGCCACATGATGCAACATACTGTGTTTGTAGATACTGGAGAAATCACATTTTGAACATTTGTATGGTTTTTCTGGATCATGTTTCTGCATATGAGTTCTCAAGTCATGTTTATATGGTGAGTTATAGTCGCATTGATCACACTTGTGGAGCTCATTCTCTTCTATTTTCTGATGTCTCTTCATGTGTGTTTTCAGATTGTATTTATGTGGTGTTCCATACACACACTCAGTACACATGTACATCTCCTGCTCATCTGGTTCTCTATCTTGTCCTGGACTGTTTTTAGTAGTTGAGCGTGTATTCATTCGTCCAGGAGAACCCATTTTATTTTTACCATCCATACCATTGTTCTTCTCATTAGCAGCACTTCCATCCTTATCACTGCTGCCAACATCACTACCAAGTCCACCAGTAGAAGCGATGCTCTCACCTTGAAGTGTTGTAGTCTGTCCTGTTAAAGCATTTGAATGAGTGATGATGATAATAGTATCACCAGCATTATTCTGACCGATCTGCACACTCTGTGTTCCACTTGTGGTATCAGCTAAAGATGGAACATCTTGTGATTTTCCCTCATCAGGTTTCATCACAGTTTCATTGCTTGTTTCTGGGATATCAGATAAAGCATTACCACCACCACCAGTCTCTTCAACACATACTTTCTTGGCATTTGGTTCTTCCCCTGTATCAGGTGCACTTCTTTTTTCAGCTTCTGGCATCATTTAGATCTGGGGAGTAAGACGGTACATTGAAGTCATTTACACAAAATGCATCTCAAAATTTAACAAGATGGCATTGAACATGACAGGTCCCCCAGCATCTTTATTCTGATTAGTTTAAACGATTTGTGGAGGGAGGGGTGTACATGGTATTCATTGAAAGTGGGTATAGTTGGCTTAGAGTAATGTAATTCCAAATTGGGGAAAAAGTACATGTAAATGATCAGGGGTGTACATGCCAATAATGTTGAGCCATTGATCATCTTAGCCTAGAGTACTTGTTGCTAGAAGAGAAGAGTTAAAAACAGTCAGCCAATACTGTAACACTATTTTTGAGTTTTTAGACTATGGACACTGTTTGAATGTCTCACTACCATAGTGCTCCTGATATTACACCAGGTGGGCAGACAGACTGAAGTATGGATGGTGGTAACCACTAATATGAATTTAAGCGAGAGTGATGGATAAAGTATTTGCAAAATAGGAATACAACTCGCAACACAACAAATAGTTCAAAAATAGTTCATAAATGACCAATTATGTTAGGGAAATCATTCAATCCCTTTTTTCGTAATAATAATAAACTTTATTGATATCGTATCCTTTATAGAATCTTGAGTTAAATTACAATGAAGTAAGGATGAAAAAACAAAACAAAATAAAATAATAACAGAAAAAAAAAGATATGCCTTGATATTAATTTTGTGGTTTATTTGGATGAGAATGAAGGCTTTTTCATGTTATTTTGTAGCTTAATTCACCTAAAGTCAAGACTCTGCTCTGCAAACCCAATATTGATCTTAAACACTGTTGCAAACTACGTACAGGGTTCAATTATTTTCTAAGTTTTATTTTATCATACAGTTAATACAATAATGCATGCAAATTTTACCTACGAATTATTTCCTTTAAAACATAAGAAATATGCAACATCAAAACACCCTGCAACATGAAATCTGCTAAAATTAAACCCAGTGAATATATCCAATATCAGTTGAGCATCTCTCATTGGTAAATACATGTGACTACATGTGTATGTGCTTGTTAAATGAATATCAGTTTGATTCACAGTCAATTCGTCCCAATTCACATTGACGGATTAACGTATTGCAAAGTGTGATGCAATAAACGACTGGGATTCAGTATTCGGGATGCTGTTATACGCACAATGAATGTGTGACCATGATTGGATCTCAGACCATTTGCCCGTATTGGATTAGTTCGTATCGGACTAACCTGAATCGGAGGAATAAATCTGAATTCAATTTGTGGAACGAATTTGATTTGGGCTGAATCAACCGTCACATGATAGTCTGATGGATTACTTGAATGGGCATTGTATCAGGTGATCAAACCAGAATGAGGCTGAACCATACACCATCGACCTTGTTTTCGGAGTTGCGCAGTACAAGTTAACAGAAGTAAGACAGCTGAAGCATCAGACAACAGGAGCCGCAACTTTGTTCACTGCACGAGTGTGAAGAAACGAGACAGGACAATCAAATAAACAAGCACATGCATGACATTCTTGAAAAACTTCCAATGAAAAACTCTCACATGCAAATTTCACTACGTCATCAAAATGCATATATAATTAATAGAAAGACAGGACCCTCAGCCTTTACAGTCCTCGTTTGAAATGCCTTTGGCATTTCGCAAACACATATTAGAACATGAGAAAAACATTTAGACAAGAAGAACTGTCTACAGTTGCGCATGTAATACAAATTAATATGCCTGGATAAAATGCATGCACTCAACTCTAATATACACTTAAAAAAATAGGATTGATGCAAAAACTCTTGTATTATAACATTTTTTTAATGACAAAAATCACTTGATTTTCATTCAGATTCATCTTTTCTTGACCATTATCATGCATTAAACGACTTGCTGCAGTTAAGCATCGACAAGCTGAGCTGCCATATATCAAAATAGTAAACTGCAGCACGGACGAAAAATGATGACTGCAGCAATAGTGGTCTACATAGCAACTTAATAGGGCGTGTCGTGTTAAGCAAATTCATTTCATAAAATACTTTGAATGTAATCATTCTGTACTGAATCATGGGAGAATAACAAGAGAATTTAGCACACTTTGACAAAAATGGCAGACTTGTTCATCGATAGCTACCAATTCCATGTGTATTAGGTCGTGTTTTTTTTGTGCACACGAAGCCATGTGATGCTAGTGGCACGAAATGGCGAATATTGACGACACTGAAACGTCCATGATACATGACACGTACGATGCCGGACACTCAATCGTTTCGTCGACACATATTGACGAAATAAAACATGAGACAATAAAAAAACAAAAACACTACACATAATTCAGAGGGGACAGAAAGCAAACTCGGCATAATATTGCTGAATGGGGCAGTGACATTATAGCATAACGAAACACGCTCGTCGTCAATCATACAAAACCTGGGAGAGAAGTTTTTACGCACACACATACGAACAAACAAACGACAAGTTATTCCTTTTCTCCAACTAGAAAAGTGCCTACAACTGTAACCAGACATTCAGCATTCATTTGAGGGGTTATTTAGCACATATATCAAACAACCTACCTGACAATTTCAGTGAATATCACCAAAAAACGGTAAAGAATTAGCTCGTTGGCGGGCTTTGTGGAAAATAAGTACCCGGATGAAAACCAGAGAGAAAACGCTCATCAATACCAAGATGCACTGCGAAACAAAATGGCAGCCAGTGGAACATAAACAAAGTTTGTAAGGTTCATTTCTTCGTAAACGTTTCCTCGAACTATTAACATTTAGGGACTTAATATACCCTAGAATTCATATTTCCTACTCATACAATATGGAAATATGTATTTGCTTGGTCGTCAATCTTGGAAATGTAAATAGACATAAAAAATGCATGGAGGCGGTTGAGAACAAAAATGTTATGTATTGTTGAGAAAAAATGATGGCTGCATAAAGTAAGCAAATTTCAGTGTAATGTTAATAGAAAAAAATGTTTGGCATATGTGAATAGAATACTTGTCAAGAAAATATTCGACCCCTCCCCTTCATTAAATTGTGAACCCTTAATAATAGGCAAGAGACCTCCATATAATCTGGCTGGTTAATTTAGCTGCCATTCAAATTTATAAACAATATTTATAAAAATAAGGGAAATGTTTTGGTATTGGTAAAAAATTATCATATATCACCATGCACAGTTTATATTTTTATACAGAGCGCAAAACCCAGACTTTGCTTCTAAATGTACGCTCGTATTTATGAACACCGGCTTTCATTCAAATTAAAAAAAAATAATAGTGATTGGCTCAGGAGCTACACTCATGCCTTTTAGCAGCTTCCTGCCTTTTTAATTTTTACATTTTATTAAAACATTTAGAAACTCAAAATAGTGGTTGAATTTAATGTCACTGTTGTGTTCAAATTTGATATTTACAGTTAAACCACATTCATGGGCAATTCAAAATGAGTGTCCATAATATATATATTTACTTTGCCATAGTAGACTTTGCAATATCACTAATGATAGTACAGAAATCATACAAATTATTCATCTATTAAATAATGCAATTGGCTAAAAACATCAGTTGCAACACCGTCAAAAACTCTAGCCATTCAAGTAGACTGTTGAGTATACAAGTTTCACAGAATATCTAAAGTCACTACCATGGTGTACTTTCAGTCAATCTCATAGCCAATCACAGCATTTTTAATTGAATGATGTAAAAATTTTAAAAAAATTGTTTAAAGCCAGAGAAACACTTCAAAGTCAAAAAAACATGTATTCAATAAACTATTTATAAACCCAAATATTATAAAGTCAAACATATACATATTGTATGAGCATGTACAGTTACTTTGTAATTTCTGTCTGATGTATCCATTTGTTTTAATTTGAATGTGACTGATTTCAAATAAAAGCAGTTAGGTTTATCATTATTTATAAGTATATTTATAAGGATTAAAATTCAATAGTGATTGGCTAAAGAGTGTTTACGTCTATAGTGTCCCTCATGCCTTCATGTGTCATAGCAAATGCGACCACCCATATATTTGAAGTAAAGCACTTGCTGATTGGATAATATTGAATTATTCGTTAATATTAACTATAACTAACAACCATTTCACAATACTATTTCTGGATTGGTCACTTTGAATTCTAAGATCCACTTTGATTTATAAAAATGTACATTTATTAAAAAAATTTTAATGACCACAGTTTTATGCCCTTCACTGTAGTGTACATTTTCTTTGTTCGCATTTAGGCATCTTTGAAAGTGGTATGTGCGTAAAGTAATCAACATATTTTATCAGAAGAAGATGGCTAATGAGTCGTGGGTGTTGGCAACAGTATTGTTATGTTTGTATGGTTTCTTTAAAGAAATGCGGCCTTCTGAACCATTTCTTACACCATACTTACGAAATTATAAGAATTTGACGGCTGAAGAAGTTGACAATGAAATATATCCCATTTGGACATATTCCTACCTTTTTGCTCTAGTGTTTGTATTTCTTTTGACGGATTTTCTGCGGTATAAACCAGTTATCATAGTGGAGGTTCTAACATATTTAGCTACATGGTCGTTACTCATCTGGGGAAATGGACTTCAGGCAATGCTTTTAATGCAGTTCTTTTATGGACTTGCCACAGCGACAGAGATTGCTTACTATTCTTATATATATGCGATAGTTTCACCTCAACAATATCGGAAAGTAACTAGCTATACACGAACTGCTATATTGACAGGAGATTTTACGGCTGGAGTGCTCGGGCAAATTCTTGTGTCTTCGCACATTACAACAACATATTTCCTTTTAAATGTGATCTCTTTCGTAAGTCTCTGTGTTGCTTTTGTGATTTCCATCTTTCTGCCCCCAACCAAGAAGAGTGTGTATTTTCACAGAGACTCTGTTTCTGGAATTGATTCTCATCATGTCTCACTTCCACCCCCACCACAATGTCAGAAGTCTGACGAAAACACTGCAGCAAAAGATGAATTTAAAGATGTGATGGCTAATGAGGATATTACTTCAACCGAGGGTGAACTATATATTCATCAAAATTCAGATACAAACTGTGTGCAAGATGATTATGGGAGTATTTGGGACTCAACACAATCTTCGCAAGAGGATCTTGTAATAAGAACAAACACATATGCTGATGATAACATTGAAAATCAATCTCCAAAGAGGAAAAGAAGAATAATTAAAGTTCAGTGCACATCCTGCAAGGGTAACTTCCAATCTCTGTTGACTGATTTTAAGTCATGTTATTCCTCAAGTCATTTGCTTAAATGGTCTCTATGGTGGGCATTTGCAACATGTGGTTACTTTCAAATTGGTAACTATGTACAGAATTTATGGGATTTAATTGAGCCATCCACAAGTGATGATTCTCGTATTTATAACGGTGCAGTTGATGCTGTTTCAACATTATCAGGTACTGGTATATACACAGTGTGGGAAAAAATGTTTGATGTGTACTAAAATATAAGGGTTTTGTGGAAGGGGAACTTGCTTATAAAGATTCTTCTCTAAAACTGCTAAACCATTTGACTTGGCGATACCTTGGGCAATGTACTGGTAGATGGAAATTTGCTTTATCTAAATCTGTCAAAATATTGTGTAATAGCCACAAATTTGCTATGATCATATTGTGTTTGTCCTGGTGTTAATGTGACCATCATTTTGATGCAAATGATTTTTATGAAATTGATACAATTTTCTATTGGCTAAATCTCTTCATAAATATTTTCGAAACAAATTAAGAGTTGACTTCAATTTATAAATATGCAAATAGCTTATTTTTTTTACTATATATCTGGTTCTTAAGATTGCCAGAACTGTTTTTGTGTATATGCTGTAATGAAAATTAAGGCACATATTTTACTATACCGGGGTATATATATATAGATATACAGGTTGTACAACTGTACTTGTTACATTAAACATCAATCAAACTAAATTTACCATTTATTTTAAATCTCAAGTGTGTTCAAATTATAGGTGCCTTTGCAACCTTCATTCTTGCCTTCATAAAGTTTAACTGGACAATTTTTGGTGAATTAACACTTGGAATTGTGTCTACGCTGGATGCTGTTATTTTGTGTGCTATGGGGTTTTCATCAAACATATGGTTATCCTATGCATTCTACATCTTATTCAGATCTTCGTACCAGCTGCTTATCACTATAGCAACGTGAGTGAACGTGCTTTATGTCATTTCAGCTCATTATTTGTCATATGTATGTCATAATTATTATGTGCAATGTGTATTAATGAACAGAAAATAGAAATAGAAAATATATGGCAAATGACAATTATTTATATAACAAAATTCAAAATGCAAGCTACTTAGGTGTGATGAGAGAATTAAAATTAGGTGTAATAAATTGCCGTTGTTGCTTTATGAGTCAAAGGTTTTAACCAATTGCTGCTTACTGCTTCATGGGCCAAATGTTCCAACCGTATTGCCACTTTGTTGCTTCATGGACCAAAATGACTAACAAAATGGTTTTTGCTTCACAAGCCTCACTAATGACACTCTGAAGTTGTTGAAATCCAAACCAATTGACCTTACACTAATGTCATTCTGTTGTTGAAGAGATCTAAACCAATCGACCTTACAGCCTCACTAAATATCATTATGTAGTTGAAAAAAATCCAAATCAAATATTATTATTATTATTGATTTCTCAGATTTCAGATTGCAAGTCATCTAACCACCGAGCGCTATGCCCTTGTATTTGGATGTAATTCATTTGTTGCCTTGGCTTTACAAAGTTTGTTGACTCTTATTGTTGTTGACAAACATGGATTAAATCTGCCTGCTGATGTGCAAGTAAGTTTGCCAGTAATTGAGACTGATGTTACCACTGTGACAATTCTCAATTTCTTGTTCATTATGGCCATCTTTTACTCCCGTGTGCACAGCACAAAATGGGAGTCTTTGCAGTTGGTGTGTCTGTACCTGTGTGTGCGTGTGTTTGTCTGTCTGTTTCACAGATATCTGAAGAACCAGTTATTAGATTTTGTTGAAACTTAGTACATAGTTTTGGGTTTATATACATGCATAATAATTATGTAACTTGCATGATAATTTACTTTTCAGCTTTCCATTTCGGAATTTTTAAGAA